TCTATCTGTATCTGTATCTATATCTATATCTATATCTATATCTATATCTATATCTATATCTATATCTATATCTATATCTATCTATACGCCTGGGAGCAAGGCACATTGATTTTAACCCTAAGGAGTCACTGATTGTTCCCACATCCTACTTCCTGACCACCTCCTGCAGCATAGCCCCTGGTGTGGAAGGAGAGGTCCCTGGGAACGGATTCCAGGACCCCAAGGAGGGCCTGGTTCAATGAGGGCACAGTCAGCACCTCCTTCCAGGAAAAGACCCAGAGACCAGGACCTCCCTCACCTCTTGCCCTTTGTATGTGCAGACACCTCCCATATGCAAATGCCCACATGGCCACCAGACACACACACAGTTGGCGTCCACTTAAATGCAGGGCCCCCTCACCCTGGAGAATACTTTCTGGGGGACGAGGACCTCACCTGCAAGACATGAATCCCATGTGGCTCTTCCTCTTCCTGCTGGCAGCTCCCAGATGTGAGTGACTCAGGGCTTAGTTGTGAGGAGATGGGGATCCTGCATCTGAACCCAGGACTCACTGTGTTCTCTCTGTCCCAGGTGTCCTGTCCCAGGTGCAGCTGCAGGAGTCGGGCCCAGGACTGGTGAAGCCGTCGCAGACCCTCTCCCTCACCTGCACTGTCTCTGGATTCTCCATCACAACCAGTGGTTATGACTGGAACTGGATCCGCCAGCCCCCAGGGAAGGGGCTGGAGTGGATCGGGTACATAAGTTATAGTGGGGGCACTTACTACAGCCCCTCCCTCAAGAGCAGAACCTCCATCTCCAGAGACACTTCCAAGAACCAGTTCTCCCTGCAGCTGAACTCTGTGACCACTGAGGACAGTGCCGTGTATTACTGTGCAAGACACAGTGAGGGGAAGTCAGTGTGAGCCCAGACACAAACCTCCCTGAGCAGACAACAGGGCTGGGCTGCAGGGAACGTCCTGAACCCCAGGAGGTGCTCAGGACTATCAGGAGACAAGACCAGGAGCAGGTCAAGAGTTTAGTAAAGATGCCATTTCCTGCTCCATCTTAAAATACTTTTGCTCCCAGGCTCAGCCACAGAGCTCACAGAAAGCTCTTTTTGGGTCTAGTTTTAGGGATTGTATTTGTAAACAAATGGGGGCTCTGTCGTAAATCTGACAGAACTCAGTGACTGACAGGACCCTCACAGAGGCTCTGATCACACATCCTCCCTGGGAAGTCCTGGGGGTGGGCACACCCAGGCCTATGACTTCTTTACTAAAAGGCTCATCTTTGCCTTAAGCACCCCGTCCATTGTTCCTGTGCATCTGGGTTAACACACCTTTGACATCAGCACCTTCAGGAGAGCACATCCATGTCTTGGCCATCTGTGTGTCCACTTTGGAGACTTAGCTATTAGTCCCTTTGCCCGTTTTTCAACTGTGTTGTTGTCTTCCTTTTGTTAAGTTGTATGAGTTCCCTGTATGACAGAGGAAATTTTAGGGGTGAAAAATACAGGTTTAGGACCTTTTAGGAATTTTAGAATTTAAGGGACCATGGAAGAAGCACAGGGCTGCAGAGCAGCAGAAGGTACATTTCCATAGGATGAGGGAGCTGGGAACAGCAAGGTCTATATTTACAAAATAAAGGGAAGGAATCCCCTCATCCAGAAGGAGAAGAAAGCCCAAAGGGAATAGGGAAACAATGGGGAAGAAGGGGGTGGGGTACCACACATGTCCCATGCGAGGTTTGACCTTTCAGCTCAGGAGTTACCATAGTAAGCAATCTAAGGGAATAGTGACCAATCAGAGGATATCAAGGCACAAAGATCTGCAGCCTTTATAAACCATGGAAAGGGACTCAGTGATATTCTTTCCCCCTCCCCACGTGGGAGTCAGTTCTTGTTCTTTAATGAATTTCCACCTTTGCTATACCAGTGATTCCCAAAGTGGGCGCTACCACCCCCTGGTGGGTGCTGCAGCGATCCAGGGGGGGTGGTGATGGCCATAGGTGCATCTGTTTTAACTTTTTTTGTATTACCTTTCTATTCTGAGTTCAATAAATATTTCATAATTTCAAACTTCAATGTTTCTAATTTACACCTTTCTTTACTATATTTTATGAAAAAGGTAGAAACATTAATACATATATCTTTCTGTTTAATTGCTATTAAAATTTTTTAAAAAATTAATTTCCAGGGGTCGCTGAGTAATATTTTTTCTGGAAAGGGGGCGGTAGGCCAAATAAGTTTGGGAACCACTGTGCTATACCCTCTTCCATCCCTGGATTCATTATTCGACTCCAAGGGACAAAGAACCCAGGAACCATCCTGCCCAGAGGAACACCATGGGTTCCATACCAAAAATCCCACTTCATATACATTTTGGAAATTAACCCCTTATCTGACAAGGGGTTAAAATAGTTTTGCTCTGAGGCTCACCCACAAAGCTCACAGAAAGCCTTGTCCTATGTCTACTTTAGGGATTGTATTTGTGAATGAAAAGGGGGCTCTGTCATAAATCTGACAAAACTCATTGACTGACAAACCCTCACAGGAGGCTCTGATCACACATCCTCCCTGGTCAGTCCTGGGGGTGGGCACACCCAGGCCTATGACTTCTTTACTAAAAGGCTCATCTTTGCCTTAAGCACCCCGTCCATTGTATCAGATGTAGCCATGCTTTTGCAAATGGTAAGAGTTCTTTCTTTTTCACGGCTGAATTGTATTCCACGGTGTAGATGTACCACAGTTATCCTGTTACCAAATTTACCAGTCGAATGAGAAATACACAGGAGTACCCAGAGATACAGGAAAAAAACATTTATTTTCAGATGTTCCACATGTACTAGTACCGTGACTCAGGGGAGACTGTTTCTCTCCAAATCCTGAGCAAAACAATATGGAGGAAGCTCCTCCTTTATACCCTTTGGTTTCTTTGTCCCCCAAATAAGGATCAGACTTCTGGCCCTTTCTGGGGTTTTTCCAAAAGCCCCGTGTGTTGGGATGGGGGTCATGAGACCACACCTAAAGGCCTGGCCTGGCTGCAGCACTATAACGCCCTCTGGGACTTTTTCATGGTTTATGGCCTCTGTAAAATGGGAGTAGTACTTAAGTAAACCCGTCTTGTAAGACCACATTGTGGAGAAGGGGCAGTGACTTAATTATAGGCCATCAAGAATGTACGTTAGGTTACTGCACAGATTCAGATTGCTAGCCCCCAAAAAATGTCTTATTTCCCCATCAATCCAATCGTCTGCTAAAGGGCACTTAGGCTGTTTCCAAACCTTCACTGTTGTAAATTGCACAGCTATGAACATACAGGTGCATACATTCTTTCTGATGAGTGCTTTGGGTTTCTTAGGATGTATTCCTAGAAGTGGGATCACTGGGCCAAATAGAAGTTCCATTTTTAAGTTTTGAATGAAACTCCATATTGTTTACCATCATGGCTGCACCAGTCTGCATTGCTAATGGACCAAATAAACTGATGAACAAAAAATAGATCCAGAGAAATAGAAGCATGAACAGACCATGGAACCTCAGAGGGAAGGCAGGGGAGGGTGGGTGGAAAGAGATCAACCCATGAATTTGTCTGCATATATGCCTAACGCATGGACATGGACAATAGGGTGGTGAGTGCATGGGTGGGAGACAGGCGGGAGCAGGATGGGGTTTATAGGGGGAAAGGAAAGCCTATATAATACTTTTTACAATAAATATTTTGAGAGAGAGAGAGAGAGAGAGAGAGAGAGAGAGAGAGAGAGAGAGAGAACCTCCTGTGAACTATCCTGGCATCCAGTGCCTGCCTTTCTCTCTCCCATCTCCATGTCACTCCTCACCTTCCCTCTTTAACTTCAAATGCATAAATGCAGCTGAAAATGGTTATTCTCTGGAGCATATGAGGTCCTGCTTCCCAACAATTGTCAGTTTGGCCCCAACAAAATATTATAAACATGCTCTGCATGTTTGGACAGTTATTACATCAACGTATAGTTTGTTCTTCATGTACCACATAGTTCATACCCGTTTCTTCCCTGTAGAGAGGGAGGTGCACCCAATTATAAATACCTGCTACCTCCACATGATGGTGGTGGTGAGTCTAAAGAGTTCGAACCCTTTGCTGTGAGGATGACGCTCCAACCACTGAGCCCCACCAGCCAGGGCTGTATGTGTAAATGATGGGAATTCTCCCACTTTGAGAGGCTGGGAACCAGGATTTTGCAAGTGAACAACAGGGAAGTTGTGTGAAATATGTGGTTTCAGGAGGCAGCTGCATGCATGTGACAGGGACCGCAGGTTAGAGACGAAGGCTGTGGCCAGTGTCTAGCCCAGCCTCTCCTGCCTTCTCACATGTAGAGGTTCGAATTTTATAGAGGATCTGATTGAGGAAAATAACAAGGAGAATCTTTCCTTCTCAAAATAAAAGTATCCTTTAATGCAAATTCTTATTCCCAAAACCCAGAAAGGCAACATGGCCTATGGCGGGGGAAGGAGAGTGAGAAGAAGCCCCATTCATGTGCCTCTGGGGCAGCACCCCTGGGTCCTCATCTAAACCCCAAGGAAGGAGGACTCTCAATCCTGGAAGCTGCCCCCAAAGGAATGGGGTCAGGGTGACGGGTCTCAGGAAAGGAGGGAGGGAGGGGGGTCAGGAAGGAACCCTTGTGGCCAGCATCCTTGAGTTCTTTCCCATCTGGGGTCGCCCCTAGGATGACAAGGTCAGGCCTGCAGCCCAGGGTCCCAGCTGCACCCTTATATGCAGACTCCATGCAAATCGGGCTCGCCTCCTGCTCATAAAAGGGGGCTCTTGCCCGGCCTGTTGGGGAGACACCCAGAACCCAAGCGCCTGAGACAGGACCCCAGCGGCTCCACCATGGACTTGGTGCCAAGCTGCATTTTCCTCCTGATCATTTCTCAAGGTCGTTCTCAGGAGTGGGGAGCGCTGAGACCTGTGCCTGTGCCTGTTGGTGCTCCCATGTGATTCTCAGTCCACCTCGTGTCTCTGTGTTTGCAGGTGTCCAGTGTGAGGTGCAGCTGGTAGAGTCTGGGGGAGGCCTGGTGCAGCCTGGGGGGTCTCTGAGACTCTCCTGTGCAGCCTCTGGATTCACCTTCAGTAGCTAGCTACTGGATGCATTGGGTCCGCCAGGCTCCAGGGAAGGGGCTGGAGTGGGTCTCACGTATTGGTAGTGATGGTAGTAGTTACATATACTAAGCCGATTCTGTGAAGGGCCACTTCACCATCTCCAGAGACAATGCCAAGAACATGCTATATCTGCAAATGAGCAGCCTGCAAGCCGAGGACACGGCTGTGTATTACTGTGCAAGAGACACAATGAGGGGAAGTCAGTTTGAGCCCAGACACAAACCTCCCTGTGGAGATAGCGAGACCATCAGGGGGTTCTCCAGACACCAGGGGCCGCTCAGGACCCACAGCACAGAGAGCAGCCCCAGGAAAAGGGGCAGAGGGAGGTGGGGAGGGAGGGGCCTTCCTGTTGGGCCCAGGGATTTCCTCTCAAGCTCTCAGCTGCCTCCAGGGAAGACTTCCTTCTCATGTTCTCCCTGCAGACAACAGTGAAGAAGGGACATGTGTTTGCAGGTGACATGTGGGCAGTGATGTGGACTCTCCTTCACCAAGTCTCTGTGTTTTCTATTTCTCTTTCTCCACAAGGAGACCATCCTCAGTGCTCTCAATGTCCTGGGTTTGGGAAACTTTCCCACAAAGAGAGACCTCAGTGCAGCCCAGGCCCTTGTGTGCTGACCTCAGGCCCCTGTCCTCACCTTTCCCTCTGACAGGCCCACCTGGGCCACCACAACCAGGATCATCCCCCAGGACCTCCCACCACAGCCCTCTGTCCTCCCTACCACACGCTTCCCTCCTGGTCCTCCTTCACTCGGGTGGATGAGCAAACCCACCCCAATGTCTGGTTTCAATGATCACAAAACCTTTGGTCTGATTGGCTTTGTTTCCTCTGAAGGGGACCCTTGTGGTTACAGGTCTGTCCCAGCAGATGTCTCATGGTAACCCCCACGTCAGCACCCTCAGCTCATTCGTCCCCACCCTAACCATCTCTGCAAAGTTCTGTCATATAAGGACACCCATAGGCCCAAGCTATGAGAACCTAGATATTCCTTAGGTCAGGGTCCAGCAATCACAGTCTCCTGAGAGTCATGGCCTCCAGGGACCCTCAAGAACCTGGGACAGGTTTCCTTCCTGGGAACTGGGAGTTGTGTGTGAGATTGTGATTGTGCATGTGTGTGTGCACATGGGAATCTGTTCGTAATTCAGCCACGATACCTGTCTCTCTGGGACGCATGACACAGTCGTTTGGACCTCACCTGGAACCTGGAACTTGAGTTAATCTTCAGGCCAATGCTTTCTTTTCTGAAGGACTCCAGAGATTATGTGTGGCTATTTCAGGAAAGAGAGAGGCAAATGGAACTGGTGGACAATGAGGAAATCACAACACAATGAAGGGATGATCAGGAGGTGTGCCTGCTCAGACGTGGTGAATTCCCGTCCATGGTAATTCACCTCCAGGCTCAGGGTAGCTTTTCCCGTGTTGCACATGGTCCATCAAGTGAATGGGCTTCAGGTCCTGGGGTCGCCCATCATGTATCAACACGGTGAGGGCACTGCCAAGGGCTACATGCAGACCGGAGTAGGCACTGGAGAGGAAGGACATGGTGCCTTTGAGATGAGCTGCTGATGAAGCAGGAAAGCCCAACATGCCCTCCTGCTCCCTGGTTAGAACTAGGTCACGTGTCCACATGGACACAGACCCTGATGGTGAAAACAAGGCAGAGCCACCAAGGCTGACCAGGTTTTTATGACATTAGGTCCATCCGCTCCAGTAACAGGTGGTTATCTGGGTGATATATTCATTCTGTAATAATGGACAGAGAAAAACAATACTCTTCTTATAAAAATGATTTTTCTATATCTGTTCCTTCATACCAGTGTTTTACATCAAGTCTTTTTATAATTAAACTAGAGGCCTGGTGCATGAAATTCATGCAAAGGGGTGGGGGTGCATGTGTCACTCAGCCCATCCTGCACCCTCTCCAGTCTGGGACACCTCGGGGGACATCCCTCTCACAATTAGGGACCTCTGGCTCTTAACCACTTGCCTGCCTGCCTGTCTGATTGTCCCTAACTGCCTTTACCTGCCGGCCTGATGCCCCTAACTGTCTTCCCCTGCCGGCCTTATCATCCCTTAACTGCCCTCCCCTCTATCTATCTCTATATCTATCATCAATATCTATATGTATAATTATATCATCTATATCTACAGTATATCTATATCTATATCTATATCTACATCTATATAGCATCTATTTCTAAATCTATATCTAATCTATATCTATATCTATATCTATATCTATATCTATATCTATATCTATATATCTATATCTATATCATCTATATCATCTATATCTACTACAGGCTAGATGCATGAAATTTGTGCATAAGGGGGTCCCCTCAGGCCAGCCTGAACATTCTCCAATCCGGGACCCTGCAGGGATGTCTCACTGCTGTTTTAACTGCTCCCCACCCCCCGCCAGTCTAGTCACCCCTAACTTCCACCCTGCCAGCCTGACCACCCCTAAACGCCTCTACCTGCTAAGCTGATCCCCCGTAACTGCCCCCTAGCCAGACTGGTCACCCATAACTGACCCCCTTTTGCCAGCCTGGTCACTCCTCACTGCCCTCCCCTTCTGGCCTGGTTGCACCCAACTGCCCCTCTACCGGCCTGATCACCCATAACTGCCCCCCCATGAACTCGTCACAACTCACTGCCCCCCACTGCCGAACTGGTCGCCCCATTCAACCTGCTCTTTGGTCCTTTGGTCGCCCCTCACTGCCCCCCCTGCCGGCCTGGTCACCCCACTCAGCCTGCCGTTTGGTCATTGAGTGAGGGCATCCTGAACAATTTGCGTATTTCGTTATTACTAGTATAGATATCTATATATCTATATATCTATGTCTATATCTATATCTATCTATACCCATGGGAGCAGAGGCACATTGATGTGATCCCTAAGGAGTCACTGACTGTGCCCACATCCTACCTCCTGACCACCTCCTGTAGCATAGCCCCTGCTGTGGAAGAGGAGGTCCCTGGGCACGGTGACCAGGACCACAAGGAGGGCCTGGTTCTCTGAGGGCACAGTCAGCACCTCCTTCCAGGAGAAGCCCCAGAGACCAGGACCTCCCTCACCTATTGCCCTTTGTATATGCAGACACCTCCCATATGCAAATGCCCACAGGGAACACCAGACACACAGTTGGCGTCCACTTAAATGCAGGGCCTCCTCACCCTGGAGAATACTTTCTGGGGGACGAGGACCTCACCTGCAAGACATGACTCCCATGTGGCTCTTCCTCTTCCTGCTGTCAGCTCCCAGATGTGAGTGACTCAGGGCTTAGATGTGAGGAGATGGGGACCCTGCATCTGAGCCCAGGACTCACTGTGTTCTCTCTGTCCCAGGTGTCCTGTCCCAGGACTGGTGAAGCCCTCACAGACCCTCTTATTGAGGGCCCTTAGAAAACACTTGGCTTGCCGAAACCGGTTTGGCTCAGTGGATAGAGCGTCAGCCTGCGGACTGAAAGGTCCCGGGTTTGATTCCGGTCAAGGGCAGGTACCTGGGTTGAGGGCACATCCAAAGTAGGAGATGTGCAGGAGGCAGCTGATTGATTTTTCTCTCTCATCGATGTTTCTAACTCTCTATCTCTCTCCCTTCCTCTCTGTAAAAAATCAATAAAATATATTTTAAAATAAATAAATAAATAAATAAATAAATAAATAAATAAATAAATATTAAAAAAAAAAAAAAAGAAAACACTTGGCTTAATTCACCTCAGGTGGGATTCAGTGAGACTGCAAAGCCAGTCAAAGACTGGATGACTCTCCCACCCAGTGTTAAGGGGATGGATCTCATGATGTCAAAGGCCCACCCAGAAGTGATGTAACTTCCTGTAATTCGAGTATATAATAAACAGCTTTCTGAGCTGGTGCTCTCTCTGTGCCTTTCCCTCCAGAGGGTAGGCTCTCTCTGCCTGTCCCTCAAGTCAGAGGGCAGACACCACACCCAGCCCAAGCTTTTAATCTATTTTATGTCTGTCTTTCATTATTCTTTAATCCGGAAAGCGCATCCTAGCTTGCTTGAACTGGTTCAAGGCTCCCCTTCCGCGCAGGACGAGGAGAGGAGACCACAGCCCAAGCACACTCGCCATACCCTCTCCCTCACCTGCACTGTCTCTGGTTACTCCATCACCAATGGTTATTGGAGCTGGATCTGGCAGCCCCAGGGAAGGGGCTGGAGTGGATGGGGTACATATGTTATGAGGTTAGTACTTCCTACAGTCCCTCCCTCAAGAGCCGAACCTCCATCTCCAGAGACACATCCAAGAACAAGTTCTCCCTGCAGCTGAGCCCTGTGACCACAGAGGACATGGCCGTGTATTACTGTGCAAGACACACAGTGAGGGGAAGTCAGTGTGAGCCCAGACACTAACCTCCCAGAGGGAGATAGTAGGGCTGGGCTGCAGGGAACATTCATGACCAGCAGGGCACAAGCTGGACCAACACAGGGCCCTGACCAGGAGCAAGTGGAGGGTTGAGCAAAGACACCATTTCCTGCTCTGTCTTAAATTAGTTTTGCTCCCAGGCTCACCCTCAGAGCTCACAGAAAGCCCTTTCCTGTGTCTAGTTTTAGGGATTGTATTTGTGAACAAAAAGGGGGCTCTGTCCTAAATCTGACAAAACTCAGTGACTGACAGGAAATTCACTGTAGGCTCTGATCACACATCCTACCTGGGCAGTCCTGGGGGTGGGCATGCCCCAGGCCTATGACTTCTTTACTAAAAGGCTCATCTTTGCCAAAACCAGTTTGGCTCAGTGGATAGAGCATCGGCCTGTGGACTCAAAGGTCCCAGGTTCGATTCCGGTCAAGGGCATATACCTGGCTTGCGGGCACATCCCCAGTAGGAGATGTGCAGGAGGCGGCTGATCGATGTTTCTAACTCTCTATCTCTCTCCCTTCCTCTCTGTAAAAAAATCAATAAAATATATATTTTTAAAAAATAAAAAATAAATAAAAGACTCATCTTTGCCTTAAGCACTCCATCCATTATTCCTGTGCATCTGGGTTAACACACCTTTGACATCAGCATGACCACCCTCAGGAGAACACCTCCTGTTCACTATCCTGGCATCCAGTTCCCGCCTTGCTCTCTCCACCTCCATGTCACTCCTCACCTTCCCTCCTCAACTTCAAATGCACAAACGCAGCTTAAACAGTTATTCTCTGGAGCATTGGAGGTCTTGCTCCCCCACAGTTGTCATCCATTTGGCCCCAATAAAATCTTATGTAACATTCTCTACATGTTTGGACATGTCTTACATCAACATGTTGTCTTTTCTTCATTGACAACATACATTCATACACGTTTCTTCTCCGTGTGGAGAGCAAAGTGCACACAATTATTAAAAACCTGCTACCTGGACGGGATGAGTTCACAGGTGCTGGAGATGAGACAAGTTTGTTGTTGGTTGTGATGGCCGTAAGTGTCCCGTCTTTTTCCAGCCCAGCAGGCGTGACTGGAAGGTTGAGCATCGACCTATGAACCAGGAGGTCACAGTTTGATTCCTTGGTCAGGGCACATGCCCGGGTTGCCATCTCCATCCCCAGAGAAGCGAGGGCAGGAGGCAGCCAATCCATGATTCTCATCATTGATGATCCCATCACTCTACTTGCCTCCTCTCTGAAGTCAAGGAAAAAGGTATAAAAAAGGAGAAGGAAAGGATGTAGCCTTCACCAACTGTGCCGTGTCCCCCTGTGACACTCTGGCAGGTTCCCCTGCTGGTTGAATCAACATAAAATCCACAACATAAATGAACCACTTTGAAGTGTTGACATGAGAACCTCTAAGCCCGTGGAGGATATTTTTCAGAGTTGATTTACCCAATCTTGGTAACCGGAACAGCAAGCCCACCTTTTTCCATTCCTGGGATTGAGGGTCAGCAAAAGCATTTATTACAAGCAGATTCAGGCTCCCCGCACAGGGAGGGGCCCACTAATGGGCTGCCCCTGAAGCCTGTGGTCTCGGGTGTGTATGTGCCACCAGCCTGCTCTGTGTCCACCCGTGTGCCCACCTGATTTGCTCCTCATTGTTCTTGCCCACAAGGGACCTGCTCATCCCTGTTCCCTTGTGCGCATTCACCTTACTGTCGCAGGCCCTCCCTCATTTCCCAGGCCTCCCACTCAGAGTCCAGAAACATTCTGTTATGTCTGCCTGGTTGGTCCCTGTGGTTGGGCTGCTCAGACTGCCCTGTCTGCCCCGCCTACCCTCCACCTGCCTTTGTTTCCCATGGACCCTGCCCTGTCTGCCTGCCTGTCAATCTCACTCCTCTCAAAGCCACGCCTTCTGGATGTGTGTCTGGGATCTTCCAGGAACAGAAATCTCATCTTCCTAAAACACAGGCTCTCCTTACAAACACCAGAGTCACTGCTCAGCCTGGGTCCCTCCTCCCGCCTCTGCTGGCCTGGGATGGGCGCTGGGCCCCATCTGTTTTCTCTGTTGTTGGTAGATTTCTGGGAGGTTGCTCTTCTCCCTTCTCATTCTCTGTTTGTCCAAAAGGAGTCACTGAGCAGAAGGAGCTGAAGCAAAATGGTGGTGTAGGCAGCTCCAAACTCTTGTTCCTCCACAAAAGCATCAATAAAGAAACCGAAACTATCAGAACTGGCATCTGTCAGGCTCTCAAACACAGTCAGAGACCTGCAGCAACTGAGCGAACCTGAGTCACGTACATGCTACTGAGAAAGGGAAGGAGCCCTGGGGTGTGGCTCAGGGGTTGAGCATCAGGCCTGGAACCAAGAGGTCTCGGGATGGATCCTGCTCAGGGCACATGCCTGGGTTGCGGGCAGGGTCCATGGGAAACAAAGGCAGGTGGACGGTAGGCTGGGGCTGGCATGGCAGTCTGAGCAGCCTCCTCACAGAAACCAACCAGGCAGAAATAACAGGATGTTTTTAGATTTAGAGTGGGAGGCAGCCCATCCACTTTTGTCTCTCTCGATGTTTCTACCTCTCTATCACTCTCCCGTCCCCTCTCTCTAAAATCAATTTTAAAAACATATTTTAAAAAAATGAAGAGAGAAGGAAGGCTTTGTTGTATTTGACCTGCCCATGCCCACCCACCCCCAAGCATGATTACACTTTCCAAGAGGTGGAGGCCGCCTTCCAAGAGGAACAAGTGATTACAGTCCCAGATTCCTGTGTCCGTCTATCCTCACCTGGGGCTGTGGGAGGATGGACACAGGTGGCTGCTCTCCTCTGAGAAGGGAGGTGCTCACCTGCCTCTAAGGAGGAAGTGGTGCCTCAACTCTCTACCCAGGGTTTTGCTTCCAAGAGCCATTATATTCCATTTTTAATCATTTTTTGTAATTATTTAATTTTTATTATTTTTTTGTTTGTTAATCTTCACCCAAGGATATTTTTTCATTGGTATTTAAGATGAGAGAGAGAGAGAGATAGAGATAGAGAGGGACAGAGAGAGATAGAGAGAGGAGAGAGAGAGAGAGAGAGAGAGAGAGAGAGAGAGAGAGAGAAACATGGATGGGAGAGAAACACATGGATTGATTTTCTCCAGGACCAGCCCCGACCAGGGAAAGATCCTGCAAGCAAGGTAAGTGCCCTTGACCAGAATCCAACCTGGGACCCTTCATTCCACAGTGCCGGGGTTCCTGTCCCAACATCAAGAAGGGTTCAGGAATCTTGAGAAGGCCGTGCGTAGATTAAAGATTCCAGGGACAAATAATGAGTCCGGAGACCAGATATAATTTTAAAAGACATTTGGGAGTCAGAGGAGCTTAGCTAAAGGAGCTAAGATCTAAGGTCTTAAGTCTAAGGTCTTAGGTTCTCTCGCCGTCCCCAGGACTCCATGGTTTTTATTAACACAATTTGTCCTGAAGCAAGGCAGAGATATACACTTCAAAGGGTATACAGAAACATTGTCAGAATGGAGGAATTAGCCTACAGCTCTACAGGGGCTGTACAGGTGTTGGCCAGTAGGAGGCAATAACATGTAGATTAAGATGTCTTTTAGCTATCTGGCAGCCACAATCAATAATCCGTTTTCAAGTTTGGGGAAATGCCTTTAGCCATTCCCAGATGCAGGTGACTACTTGTGTGACTCAACCCTGTTGAGTCCCCAAGTATCATCAACCTTTGGATGAAACTCTTGAAATTATGACATGCTAGAATTGGTCTCCAGCACCACAGGACCACGCTCTATCCACTCAGCCAAACCAGCTAGGACTCCTTTTTTAAGTGATGGAAATTCTCCCACTTTGAGGGGCTAGAAACAGGGCTTTTGCACATGAACAGCAGGGAAGTTGAGTGAAATGTGTGCCTTCGGGAGGCAACTGTGTGCTTGTGAGAGAGGCAGCAGGTTTGAGCCGGAGCCTGCAGCCACAGCGTCCATCCCAGGCTCTACTGCCTCCTCACATGTAGAGGTTCGAGTTTTGTGGAAGAACTGCGTATTTCTATGCAAGACACAATGAAGGGAAGTCGGTGTGAGCCCAGACACAAACATCCTGAGGAGACAACAGCCCCAGAGAGGTGACATGGCCCAGGGTGGGTGAAGGAGAGCGAGAGGAAGCCCCATGCACACGCCTCTGGAGAACACCCATAGGTCCTCATCAAAACGCCAGGAAGGAGGACTCTCAATCCTGTAAGCTGCCCCCAAAGGAATGGGGTCAGGGTGATGGGTCTCAGGAAAGGAGGGAGGGAGGGGGGTCAGGAAGGAACCCTTGTGGCCAGCATCCTTGAGTCCTTTCCCATCTGGGTTGCCCCTAGGATGACAAGGTCAGGCATGCAGCCCAGGATCCCAGCTGCACCTTATATGCAGACTCCATGCAAATGGGGCTCTCCTCCTGTTCATAAAAGGGGCCCTTTCCCAGCATGTTGGGGAGACACCCAGAACCCAAGCGCCTGAGACAGGACCCCAGCGGCTCCACCATGGACTTGGTGCCAAGCTGCATTTTCCTCCTGATCATTTCTCAAGGTCGTTCTCAGGAGTGGGGAGCGCTGAGACCTGTGCCTGTGCCTGTTGGTGCTTCCATGTGATTCTCAGTCCACCTTGTGTCTCTGTGTTTGCAGGTGTCCAGTGTGAGGAGCAGCTGGTGGAGTCTGGGGGAGGCCTGGTGCAGCCTGGGGGGTCTCTGAGACTCTCCTGTGCAGCTTCTGGATTCACCTTCAGTAGCTACTCGATGGACTGGGTCCGCCAGGCTCCAGGGAAGGGGCTGGAGTGGGTCGCATACATTAGTAGTGCTAGCAGTACCATATACTACGCCAACTCTGTGAAGGGCCGCTTCACCATCTCCAGAGACAACGCCAAGAACATGCTGTATCTGCAAATGAGCAGCCTGAGAGCCGAGGACACGGCCGTGTATTACTGTGCAAGAGACACAGTGAGGGGAAGTCAGTGTGAGCCCAGACACAAACCTCCCTGAGTAGACAGCAGGGCTGGGCTGCAGGGAGTGTCCAGGACACCAGGGGGCGCTCAGGACCAGCAAACCCAGGTCCCAGCTCAGAGGCTCTCCCTGGAGGGTTGTGCAGGCTTCCTATTGGGGTCAATGCTTCATGTCACAGTTTCCCCCAGGGAACCTCTGGATCTTGATTCTGCATGTATGTCTGAGTCTCTGAGCGAGAAAAGTCTGTTGTGAAGATAGACAACTTTCTCGTGTGGCCAAACCACAGAGACTTTCTTTGGGAAAGTCTTGTGTCCAAATAATAATCATCGAATCTTCTGACCCTGGTCTCCTAAATCCAACCAGAGGCTCTGTTTACTCAACAGTGCAACTCAGCCCCACAGAGCTCAGGGTCCCAGGCAGCAGGATGGGAGCATGTTAAACAGTGGGCACCAGAGTAATGTGACCCCAAAGCTAGAAAAGAAAAACCTTCGTGGTGAAGGTCATTGACCTGTCATGGTGCTCATAGCAACAAGAGTAGGTGTCACCAGGCAGAGGCATAGGGACCCACACCAGATTGGTACAGATGTCCAGGGTGACGACAAACACACATCAAGGTACATGAAATGTTTATTACATACATAACTAAATCTCTGAGAAGCACAGCAAAGGTCCTTCAGCAAGTCAGACCTGCTTTAATGGAGCAAGGAAAGGAGACTGGTTTGGGGCTTTTATTTTGGTGAGGTGGTGGGGAAGGGGAGGAATTCTGCTTCCAGGGGCTTATGTGGTTTCTACCTCTTAGTGACAAATGGAGAGGAGACAAATATTTCGGGTCAGATTCCCATGTGGGGGAGATGGAGAAGAGGCTAGGAATGAGCCAACCATTGTCAGCATTCAAATGTAAAGTAATATAATGTCTGGCCTGGTATTTTCCTTAAAATTTTTAATATATGACCAAAAATGAGATAAAGAGTCATTATTTGTTGACAACAACAACGTCTACAGAAAGGAGTGCAAGAACTATTATAAGTGAGCCAGTGGTGCTGATGAGGATGAGGGTGATGATGATGATGGTGATGGTGGTGATAAAAATGATAATGGATATGATGACAAGAATGGACTGAGACAGGGGTCCTGGTCCAATGAAATGAAGGCTCCTCATACAGACACACCATCACCATGGCTCCTGCAATGAGCGGTGTCCACCCTTTCCCAGCAGTGTTGAGAGATTTCACTGAAGGGACAACAATGAATCATGCAGCTTCAGGAATCCATGTTGAGATCATATCAGTAATGACTTCAAATGTATCCAAGTCCTAATTCCATGCACCAGGGAAGGTGTCACCTTCTAGAACAGAAACACTGAGAATGTGAATGTAGAAAACAGGGGTCTCCTTCCCACCAGTTTGCAGTGACATGTTCCTTATTGCTCTTGACACCTGCCTGCATGATCCTAAACGTTTCTACTTCAATCAACTCCTGCTCATCATTATTCAGGTATTTCCTATGATGACATGAGCTGTCTGTACCTCATGCCCTCACTTCCTTCTGGGCTTTCACGGGAGGAGGCTTTAAAACCACAGGTCCAGTAACTCTCTGTCCATGAGCCTCAGGCACATTTCTGTCATGTGACTCAAAACAAGCCCAGCTTCCTCCCCTCAACCAGTTCCACAGTCAAGTCCACATTTATCGGTAGTTTCCCAGCAGCGCTCCCCTTGGTACCAGCACCTACTCAAGCCCCCGTGGCTGCTGTAGCCAATCCACATGGGCAGTGGATGCTCACAATTTCCTAGGGAATTCTTTGTAAAATCACCCAAAACAGGTGCCAATAAAGAAAATACTGATGTATTGAACTTTAATAAAAGCAAAACATTTGTCCCACCAAGAATTTCATCAAGGATATTCAATGACAAGTTTAACATGAGATTATATTTCAGAATCATGTGCCTGATGGGAGAATGTGTGTATTACACATTAAGGATGTTGTATGTTATGGGGGAGAGCCCACCACCATCTGACCACAGTGACCACCAAGGGGAAGTGCAGAGGGAGATTGGAAGGGAGGGATTCACTCAGGGTTTGAAGTTCCATTTCCTGTGCGAAATTCTACTGTGGAATTCTTCTCACTCATCTCCCTATAAATCCCAACATCACTGATGACACTAGACTGAGAAAACAACTCAATCTCCTTCTACCATCATTTCAACATATGAATGATACTATGTTGTGCACATACATGATCACTGCTTTTATTTCATGTCTTCTCTCCACTTAGTGCCATGACTATTTTTGATGTAACTATTTGGTGTCTCAGCAATAGGCCGTGAACTTGCATAAAGGAAGAATGTGCACAGGAAGCTCACACCTGTCAGAATGGCGGCCATCAACAAATCAACAAATGACAAGTGCTGGCCAGGATGTGAACAAAAGGGAACTCTTATACTCTGCTGGTGAGAATACCAATTGCTGCAGCTATGATGGAATGCAATATGGAGTTTCCTCAAAAAATTAAAGATGGAACTGCTAATTGAGCAAGTGATCCCACTTTTAGGAATATATGCGGAGGGACCCCAAACACCAATTTGAAAAAATGTATGAACAATTATGTTCATAGCAGCACAATTTGTATTAGCTAAGATCTGGAAACAGCCCAAATGCCCATGAGTAGCTAAGTGGATTAAAAAGCTGTGGTATATTTATGCCATGGAATGCAGGTGTCCAGTGTGAGGAGCAGCTGGTGGAGTCTGGGGGAGGCCTGGTGCTGCCTGGGGGGTCTCTGAGACTCTCCTGTGCAGCCACTGGATTCACCTTCAGTAGCTACTGGATGCACTGGGTCCGCCAGGTTCCAGGGAAGGGGCTGGAGTGGGTCTCACTCATTAGTAGTGATGGTAGTAGTTACATATACTACGCCGCCTCTGTGAAGGGCCGCTTCACCATCTCCAGAGACAACGCGAAGAACACACTGTATCTGCAAATGAGCAGCCTGAGAGCCGAGGACACGGCCGTGTATTACTGTGCAAGAGACACAGTGAGGGGAAGTCAGTGTGAGCCTAGACACTAACCTCCCTGAGGAGACAGCAGGGCTGGGCTGCAGGGAGCGTCCAGGACACCAGGGGGTGCTCAGGACCAGCAAACCTAGGGTCTCAACTCAGAGGCTGTCCCTGGAGGGGTTGTGCAGGCTTCCTATTGGGGTCTATGCTTTTTTCCTGAATACAAGGACCATCCCAGCAGCAGGTGCAGTTGTAGGTCTGGGCTGGTTCCTGTGTGGTTTCCTCTTCATGTCACAATTTCCCCCAGGGAACCTCTGGATCCTGATTTTTCGCTGACATCTGAGTCTCTGAGTTAGAAAGTCTGTTTTAAAGAGAGAACTTTCTCCTGTGAACAAAAGGTAGAGAGTCCCTTTCATACACACTTGTGCCATAATGAGTTTTATCATCAAATCTTCTGACCTACATCACCTGAATCTAACAAGAGGCTCTAATGACCCAACAGTGCAGCTCCCCTGAATGCTGGACCGTGGACCCCACATGTGTGTGAACCCAAAGCTGCAGAAGAAGGACCCACAGGGTGACAGTCCTGGTCTTGTCCTCATGCTCACAGCACCCAGAGGAGTGGACACCATGCAGAAGCAGAGGCACAGCAGCTGGTACAGATGTTCATGACACACACACACCAAGGGGAAGTGGGATGGTTATTATGCTCCTGATTGAAACCCCTGAGAAGCACAGGAAAAATCACTCAGCAAATCAGACCTGCTTGGATGGAGACTGGAAAGGAGAGGGCACAGGGCTTTTATTTTGGTGAGGTGGTGGGGGAGAGGGAGAATTTCTGTTTCTAGAACTTGTGTGGTTTCAATCTCCCAATATCTTCCAATGAGAAAAGTATGATTTTTTATACAATTTCCGGTGCGGGTGCAGATGGAGAAGAAGCAGAAATGAGCCCTCAGTTGTTAGAAGTCCAACAAAAAAGAAAATATAGTTGCATTTTATTTAACAACTACATACATTGAGCAAAATTAAGAAAATAGGTCCTTATGACTGTACAAAAACCATATGAAAAATATCAGAAGAATAATTAATTATAAGTAATAATTATAAGTAAGCAAATGATGGTGATGTTGATGTTGACAATGATGATGGTGGTGGTGGTGGTGATGGTGATGATAGAAATGGAAAGGAATCTCAGGAATCTCAGTCCAATGTCTTGGTGGGAATCTGTCCTTTCCCACTGATCTGTCATTGACTTTTTCCAAGGCCTGTGTCAACTTACAATTGGGCCTTTGGGGTCTCAATCCCTAATGGCATCTGAAGAGGAGGCGCCTGCTTTGTTTACTTATAAGAAGTCATTGTGTGTGGACAATCACCATGTCCATAGAAAACAAGAATAAGTAAGCAAATTGTGGTGGTGATGATGAAGATGATGATGATTACAATGAAGATGATGGACTGAGACAGGAGCCGTGGTCCAATGGAATGAAGGCGCCTCATACAGACACACCATCCCCTTGGCTCCTCCAGTGAGGAATGTGCACTCTTCCCAGTGAGTGTTGAGAGATTTCATAAATGGGACCCCAGTGATTATGCAACTTGGGGGATTCATGGTGAGATCATGTGGTTAATCAACCCAAAGGTGTCCAAGTGGGAATACCTTGGGCCTGGGAAGGTGTCACCTTCTAGAACAGAGACACTGTGAGAATGTGCATGTAGGAAACAGGGGTCCCCCTCCCACCAGTTTGCAGTGACAGGTTCCTTATTTCCCTTGATCCCTGCCTGCATGATCTTTAAGGTTTCTATTTCAATCAACTCCTGCTCATCATTATTCAGATATTTCCTACGATGACAGGAGCTGTCTCTCTCATATCCTGCACTTCCTTCTGGGCCTTCACTGGAGGTTTTAAACCCACATGTCCAGTAACTCTCTGTCCATGAGCCTCAGGCACATTTCTGTCATGTGACTCAACACAGTGCCAGCTTCCTCCCCTCAGCCTGTTCCACAGT